ATCAACAGTTTTATCCAAACTAAAATAATTTTTTTAAGTAAGTTACATTTTAAGTTTTAATATTATTTATAAATTTTTAAAGTTTTGATTATTTCTTATATGCAAAAGTATCAACTAAAAAAATCCTTCCTACGCTAAATAAAATTTCAAAAAGAGTTCCGTTTCTTTAAGTTACTTTTTTTAGACAATTTTAGTATTATATTTATACATTTATTCATATAAGAAAGAACTTTACTTTCATATAAACTTATTTCTTGCATATTTATTTATTTATAAATTAAATTGCTTATTATTAATTATGAACATAGTTGATAAATAATATAAAGTATCATCTCAAATTGGGAACCCTCAAAAAATTGTAAATAGTAGAAAAGCATGAAGCACCCAAAAAATTTGTTAGTAGTAGAAAAGTAAAAATTTGTTAGTAGTAGAAAAAGAGGAAATTTGATGGCGTTGATTGATGTGTCATCAATACAACATCGATGCAACTACTAATACAACTATTATGATAGGAAGTGTTTAATGTTATACATATTATAAATTCATATTTTATATTTTAATATGTAATTTTAATGTTGATAAATGTCGATTTAAGTAAATGTGAATTATAGTGATCTATTAGATAATTTTTAAAAAGTTTATTTTTTATTCTATTATAATTATATTTTTCATAAAAATAGTTTAATTTTTTTATTGGAAAAAGACCATTTCAATTTTATTAATTCTCTATACTCTATAGTTAGAATATTTTTATAAAAATACTTTTTATGTATACATATAAATTATATTCAAGATGACAACACACAATTAGGAGTAAATTGTGTTTAAAGCTAACTAATTCCAACTAGGATATAATTGCAAACTAAATAGTAGAAAAAATTAACCACATGGGTCTTAAATGTTGATTCCAATGCAGAAAACATTAATTAAATTGATTCTGATCTTGATGTTGGTGGTTCATACTTCCAAAATACAACATTTCAATAAAAAATAATTACTTGTTTGTTTCTAAATCCATATGATTGGATTGTTAGATATTTTATTAATGTTTGAGAAAAAAATGGGATAATTTAGTTTAATGCTATTCATTATGGTGTAATTTAAATATTTCAACTAATTTAATTTATCTTAATGATATAATTTATTTTAATATTATTCAATACTAAAATAAATTTAAAATATAACAAAATTAATGTCTCTCCTAATTAAGAGTATTTTAAAATTACACGTGGAACCTATATCCATTAATATAACTACAAATTAATTTTTTTCAAAAATATAAAATAATTAGCATTAGAACATATTATACATGAAACACATGGACTAAATTTGGACGAAAATCATATTTTATTATTTTCTCACTTTCTTACATTAGTTAACCCATATCCCTAAATATAACTACAAATGAAATTTTTAAAATAACACGTGAAACCCATATCCCTAAATATAACTACAAATGAAATTTTTTTAAAATACAAAATAATTAGTATTAGAACATATTATACATGAAACACTTAGAATAAATTTGGACGGAAAGCTTTTTTTTATTATTTTCTCACTTTCTTACATTAGTTAACTTATACATCAAATAAAATATTTTTAGATATATATCAAACATTCTTTTTGTATAAAATTGTTTTTAAAGTTAAAAAATATAATTATTATCATAAAACTTTAATTTCATTTATAAAGCTCTTATTTTTAAATTAGACTTAAAAGTAACTTTTACAATTGAAAATAACTCGGTCAAACAATACCTTAAACAATTGTCTATTTTATCTCCATATTAAACTATGCCTAAAATAAATTGGTCGAATATACAACAAATCACTAATTAATTCATCAGTCGCTAATTAATCTGCCTAATTAATATACAATATATGGCACTGTTCACACTCGTTTTCATTTTGATATTGGTGATTCATACTTCCAAAATACAACATTTCAATAAAAAATAATTAGTTGTTTGTTTCTTAATTCATATTATTGAAGCGTTAGATATTTTATTAATGTTTGAGAAAAAAATGGGATAATTTAGTTTAATGTTATTCATTACGGTGTAATTTAGATATTTCATCTAATTTATTTTAATATTATTCAATACAAAAACAAATTTAAAATATAACAAAATAAATGTCTCTCCTAATTAAGGGTATTTTTAAATTACACGTGGAACCTATATCCATAAATATAACTACAAATTAAATTTTTAAAAAGTATAAAATAATTAGCATTTGAACTTATTGTACATGAAACACTTGGACTAAATTTGGACGAAAATCATATTTTATTATTTTCTCACTTTCTTACATTAGTTAACTTATACATCAAATAAAATATTTTCAAATATATATCAAACATTTTTTTGTATAAAATTGTTTTTAAAGTTAAAACATATAAGTATTATCATAAAACTTTAATTTTATTTATAAAGTTCTTATTTTTAAATTAGACTTAAAAGTAACTTTTACAACTCTTGGATCATACGCGGTATTTTAAAACAAAGAGATATCATAGATTTAATTCGGAACGAATGGGACCGACTTCTGAACTCCCAAAAGTTTAAGGCGTCGGTTTTTTACAAAGTGCTGATTGTTGACGGCACAAGGGTGCCTTGGAGAACCTTGAATAGAAACAATAAGCGCCGACCGCGAGCAGTGTTTTGTTTCTTGCAAGCTTGTCAGAGAAAACGTGCAACCAAGGATATATTAAAGCGGTTTGGCATGATTCAAAACAGTCAGTGCAGCTTATGTCAAACTGAGGAAGAGACGATGAATCATCTTTTTTTCTGTTACCAACGGACTAGACACATCTGGATCAAGGTGCTCCAATGGTTTAACGTATGTCATTCACCTCAACATTGGAAAGCAGAGCTGGTTTGGATCAGTAAAATGACAAAAGGGAAAGGGTGGAAAGTGGATGTTTTTAAAATGTTAGTGGCCGAAACCATCCATTGCATTTGAGGGTATCGTAATAGTATCACTTTTGGTAACAGTGTAGATAATACAACCGTGGATACTAACTTTATAGATAACGTAATCTACAGAGGTTGGCAAAATCCTAAAATTAGAAAACATCTAGTTATTATATGATGTAATTGGATCTTTTTGTTGGGTTGGATCCTCCAGGATAACCTTCTGCTGTACTAACTATTTTTTGAATTAATATATATTCTTCCTTTGATTCAAAAAATAACTCGTTCAAACAATACCTTAAACAATTGTCTATTTTATCTCCATATTAAACTATGCCTAAAATAAATTTATGCAATTATTTACATAGTTTATAACTGATTCACATGAACTAAATTCAAACATTGTAAAAAAAATTGAGTCGACATGATGCATATCACAGCAGCAAACACACTGATTAACCATACTACACATAGGCGTAAACAACCTTCCAACCTCGCAAATTCCTCGGACGACTTCACAAACGAATTCATAATAATCAAACCTCATGAACAATTAATTCTTAAATCGAAAAATAGATTCACAACGATCCAACCTCGTAAACGAACAATTCTCAACTTTGCAAAATAATACATAATCAAAACGAATTGCAACCGATAATCAAACCGTATATATCAATAAAACAGAACTCATGAACGCGTATGCATATCAACAGCTCAAATTAACATATACATTACCAATCTTGAAATCAAAATTAACAAAAGAAAAACAAAATTTACACATTTGTGAGCCATGACAGCAGCATGCGTATCAAATTATAAAGCCAATTAACATGAAATGCGACACAAACTCGGCCTTGAAACAATGCATACACAAAATTCAATCACCCTCAGCATACACAAATTATAAAACCTAATTGTGGTTGTACATTGAATGTTGACCAGAATAATATAAATTACAAAAGGTTGATGCTATGAATTAAACCTGGGACCTTTAATTCTATCACAACGATTAGGTTAACTAACTGTTGTGATATGACGCGCGCTTTCTAGAATACAACAATGGTGCTAAGACTGTGATTGTAAGTACTACATATACAACCACACGCTACATAATAAAAATGTATTAATTATCTAATGACCATTTGAATAATAAATGTATTAAATTATCAATCTTAAAACTTTTATATAGAGTGCTATAGTTGAGTAGAAGAACTAAAAGTTTATTTGAATTTTTTGTGTGTTGTTGTATGTCGGTTTGGTTAGTCTTTTCACATCACAACGTTGTTTTAATGTGGAAATTAAGAAGATACAAGTTGTAATTTTTAGGGAAAAATGCGTCTAGTGGTGTGTCAATAGTTTTCTAGACACGCTAAAAGAATTATGACAAAGTATGACAAATTCCCTTTTGTCCAAATTTAATACAAAATACAACTTATCTCATTGTTGAAGGAATCAATTGATACAAAACTTTCAAAAAGGATGTTGTCTTGTAAGCCAACCTCATCAAATAATATAAAATCTTCTTAAATTTAGTATCTATACTTTCATTCAAGCACAGGAAAGAAATTTCTTAAAATCATTATTTTGTGTTTTGTAATTTATATTTTATCTCATTAAAATATAACTAAAATAAATAAATTAAAAAACATATAAATTTGAAAAAAGTTGATAAAAAAATAATAAGCTAATTTTCCTATTTTATTAAAAAACTGTATGACCTTTATTTTATTATAAATTTTTAAAATAAAAACGATAATCTTCTCTAAAAGAATAGTCATGTATACTTTGTTTTATCTATAATAATAATTAATTTTGATGAACTGATGGGACGAGGGCGGTCAAAAAAGGTGTCGTCGTCGGCGTCACAATCCCAACCACAGGAACCAGCTAAACCAACGAATACACAATTGGAAGAGGAATGAATTGATGTGGAAACCCTAACTGGAAAAATTGGGGAAAAACAGAAGGTATTGAAGACACAAGCTCTATGAAGGAGCCGCAAGTCCAAAAAGAAAAACAAAAAATTGAAGAGCAGAGAAAGTTGTGGGTTGATGTTCTTAAAGAGAATCGAAATCCTGCAAAGGGGATGCAATTAAAATTCATAGCCCCACAAATCGTTAATGGAGAAGTCGAGGTCGTGATCGAAGATGAAGACATTGACTCAGAATTAAAATTCTGGGACACATCTCTGATACTGTATGTCCTTGGAGCAGATATGAGTATGCATTCGGTTAAGCAGTTTATGACAAAGATGTGGAATTTTGTAGCCTTGCCAGACATGTATTACCACGAAGATGGGTATTTTCTGCTGCGATTTGGAACACATAGAGACAAGGATGAAGTGTTAAGGAAGGGCCCCTACACAATTAGAAACATGCCCGTCATTCTTCGAGAATGGAGGCCGGAATTTGACATGAGAAAGGATTTGCTCAGAACCCTCCCTGTATGGATTAAACTGCCTAAACTTCCTTTGTATCTGTAAGGAGAAAGTAGCTTGGGAAAGATTGTAAGTGCCATCGGCAATCCTATCGTTACAGATGAGTGTACGGCGAGTAAACTCCGCATATCGTATGCTCGAATATTGGTGGAAGTGGATATCACAAAGGAATTACCGCAAGAAATTATAGTAAGAGATAAAGATGGAAATAAAATGAAACAAGTCGTGGAATTTGAATGGAAACCACAATTTTGCTCCAAATGCCAAAAGATTGGGCACAAATGTGGTGAGACAAGAAGGGAGGTTAAGCAATGGAGACAGAAGAAACAACCAGAAGCATATCAAGAACAGATGATGGAAAAGCCAATACCTGCACCAAAGGAAGTGACAAAACCATACCAGCCAGGACCTATCCTCCAACGGCTGCCAACAGAAGAGTGGAACACTCCCAGGAAAACAGGGACTGGTAGAGGAAAAGGACAAACAAAGACAACAACACCAGAATGGCTGCAATGTATGAATGAAAGAGGAAGTAGCCAAAACAACACTCAAGATTGGCTGAAATGTGTGAATGGGTTCGATGCATTAGGTGTTTCGAAGGACACTATTGCATTAGATGACCCTGGCCCATGCTGATCTTGTGGAATGTTAGGGGGCTCAACCGAGCAGGTAAATATAAGGAGATTAGCTCCCATCTCCTGTCCCTAAAAGCTGATATTAATATCCTGCTAGAAACAAGGGTGAAGAAGGAAAATGCAAAGAATATAAGAGATAAACTGAAACTTCCAGGCCAATACTTAGATAACTATAGTCATCATATAAATGGGAGAATCTGGTTGAACTGGAATGATGGTAATATTGATATCATTAGTAATAAAATCCTTGATCAGATGGTGCACTGTGAGGTAAGGGATGCGCAAGGAGGCTTTAAATTCTGGCTGACAGCTGTTTATGCGCACAATAAACTGGAGTTGCGAAGAAAATTGTGGCATGATATCGAACACTCCCAACAACCAGGTCCTTGGTGCATTGTAGGAGATTTCAACAATGTATTGAGGACTAAGGACAGAATTGGGGGGAATCGAGTAACGGAAACAGAATACATTGATCTCCAAAATATGATGCAGAGGATTGGCCTATTTGAAATGGAGTCCAAAGGAGATTACTACACTTGGTTTAATAAACATAATGTCGACCCCATTTATTCAAGAATAGATAGAGTTTTGGGAAATGTGGACTGGTTTCAAACTTTTCAGGATGTGAACTTGAATGTGCTAGCTCCAAATGTGTCGGACCACGCTATTCTCCACGTGATTGGACAAGAGAACTCAGATTACAGGAAAAGAAAGTTCAAATTCTTGAATTGTGTCACGAAAATGGCAGGATACAGTGAGATTGTTGCTCGCAGCTGGCACACACCAGTTAATGGTAGCAGACCCATGGAAGTTGTTTGGAAGAAACTAAAGAGGTTACAGAAGGATCTTGGCCCCTTGACCAAACATACAACACAGGCTAAAGTTCACTTAGCAAAAGCTAGAGAGGCACTCAAGGAAGCACAGCAGGCGCTCAATGATGACAGGATGAATAAAGAAAAAATCGACTTAGTCAAGGATTGTACAGAAGATGTCATTAAATGGAATGAGATTGATGAAGCAATTCTGAAGCAGAGATCGAAAATTGATTGGCTAAAATTAGGGGATGGCAATAATTCCTATTTTCATGCCTCAATCAGAGCCAAAAATAAGGCAACAAGTATAGAGACTTTGCAGTTGGAAAATGGTTCTATCGCCACTGAGCAAGTAGATATACAAGCAGAGGTACTACGATTTTACGGAGATCTAATGGGCAAACAGGCTGAATCAACTCAGGCTATAGATATTGTGGCAATGCGAGAAGGGTATCATATCGACACTGATCAGGCAGATATGCTCACTGGCCCAGTCACAGAAAAGGAAATTGTGGCAGCTCTGCACAGTATTGGAGACCTCAAATCTCCGGGTATTGACGGCTACGGGGAAAAATTCTTCAAAGAAAGTTGGCAAATTGTGGGTAGGGATGTCATTGCAGCAGTGAGAGAATTCTTTGAACATGATCAAATTTTCCTGGCTGTGAATTGCACCTTGATTACGCTCATTCCCAAACACGAAGAGGAAAAAACTATCAAGGAATATCGACCAATCGCAGGCTGTACTACCCTATATAAAATCATTTCCAAAATTCTTACAATGAGATTAAGTAAGATCATGGCAAACCTAATAGGATGCAGCCAGGCTGCTTTCGTCCCAGGACAACAAATTCTAACCATATACTACTAGCATACGAACTGATTAAAGGTTACAGCCGCAAAGGAGGGGCGCCTAGGTGTATGATTCAGTTGGATTTACAAAAAGCGTACGATATGGTGGATTGGAAAGCTCTTGAATCAATTCTAAACGAAATTGGCTTACCAAACAGATTTGTTCGTTGGATCATGCTCGCGGTGAAAACAGTGTCGTACAAATTTAATGTAAACGGGGAGTATAGTAGTATCATGAAAGCAAAAAGAGGTGTGCGGCAGGGGAACCCTATATCCCCCTATTTGTTTGTGATAGTGATGGAATACTTGAATAGGGTACTGTACAGGATGCAACAGAATCCTGATTTCAACCACCATGTGAAATGTGAAAAGCTGAGCATCACTCACCTGACATTTGCGGACGACATTCTACTGTTTTCCAGGGGGGACACAAGATCAGTAGAGATCATGATGGAAGCGATTTGTAACTTTACGAAAGCCACTGGACTGATGTTAAATGCTACTAAAAGTCGCATATATTTTGGGGGTGTGGAAGAAGATATAAAAGATGCAATCTTACAAAAGACTTTGTTTGTGGAGGGCTCTCTCCCTTTCAAATATTTAGGCGTACCACTCACGACGAAAAGGCTTTCTATCAACCATTACATGATATTGGTTGATAAAATTGTGGATAGGGTAAGACATTGGAGTACCAAGTTGTTGAGCTATGCGGGTCGACTCCAACTTATCAAAAGCATTACCTTTGCAATTGCAAATTATTGGCTGCAATGTCTACCGCTGCCAAAATATGTTTTGAAGAAGATTAATACTATTTGCCGAACGTTCCTATGGACAGGTGGTTTGAAACCTAGTAACCGCAGCCCCGTTGCATGGAAAACTGTCTGCAAATCTGTCAAATATGGAGGTATGAATATTATTAACCTGGAGATTTGGAGTATAGTCACGATGCTTAAGCTAATCTGGAACATATGTAATAAAGCGGATACCATGTGGGTTCGCTGGATGCATACATATTATTTCAAAAATAAGAGTGTTATGGAGATGAGTGTGAAACCGGATAGTTCGTGGATTATGAAAACGACTTTGAAAGCTAGAGACATGATACCACCGATCCAGCAGAAATGGGATGAAATGTTGGCTAAGGGGAAATTCCATATGTCAAGTATTTATCGGGAACTAAATAAGGGAGATGAGGAAGAGAAAATTTGGCGGAAACTAATGTATGGTAATGTAGCAAGGCCAAGAGCAATTATGACATTATGGCTGATATGCCATCAGAGACTTGCAACGAAAGACCGGTGTATGCGGTATGGCAAGGTGGAAAATAATACATGCTGCTTCTGTGAAGCGGAGGAAACCATCACACATCTGTTCTTTGAATGTCCCACTATGAAAGGTATTTGGAAGGATGTTCTGGATTGGATAGGTGTTCGACACGAACCAAAAAGTTGGAATCAAGAATTGAATTGGATTCTGCAGCACGGTACAGGTAAGGGGAAAAAATCAGCACTCATCCGTCTTGCTGTGACAGAGACACTTTATGGACTTTGGATGTATAGGAATCACAATTGTTTCGGGAAGGCGAAGGACAACAGCT